ACGGGGGAGAAGAGCTGTCAGATCTTCTCCATTTTTCTAATATATATAACCTTCGGGTTCTATTCTAACCTTCAGATTTTATTTTAAACATTCGGGTTCCATTCTAACCTTCAGGTTTTTTCATTCAAATATTATTATCTTGAACTTTGATTTGCTGTTATGGCTCCTTCAGAGAAGATTCCTAAACTACCTTTATCCCTCAATGATCAAAGTGACTAGGCAGGATGGTCCACCATTATGACTAATGCCTTGCGTGGCGCTGGTCTCCTTGATTGTCTCACCAGTACGGGACCAGTTTCACTGTCCATCAGCACTGTTGCTTCATCCAGTACTGTTACATCTGGCAGTGGTGGTATAGATCTTTAGACCGCTCGTGCTTTCTGTTAAGGAGAGTTCAGATTGTCAGTTATAGAAATTTTGTGTCATGCATTATCTCACTCGATGTGTCGGCTTTGGTCTCACTGTCGAAATTGGTTCGCTTCCTTCTGCTCGGGCCATGTGGACTCGCCTCATTGAGCGTTTCACAGAGTGTTCTGGTGCACGGGAGGCATATCTTCTGCAAGGCGTTGCTCTATAATGCAAAGATAGTTCCTCTCTGCAGTCTCATTTTGGATAAATGCAAGCTTTTTGGACAGAATTACGCTCATGCTTCCTGAACGTGATTTCACATATGAACACTGGCTAGCCTGGTATGAGCGGTATGAGGTGCATTAACTGTTTTAGTCCCTTTCTGAATATTTAACTATGGTTGATCAACTACTTCATTAGCTTTAATTTTTGACTTTGACCTCAGTTATGGGAGCTCTCACTGCTTATGAGACTCGACAACAAACAACACGACTCAATTTGTTAACATACACTCCTACCTCTTCACTCGAGACTGCTCTGTTTGGACCTGTCATTGCTCCTGTTATGAATCATACTTCTCAACTGGCTCCCTCTCTACATGCTCGATCTAAGCTCTCTTATAAATATTACAAGGAAGGACACCGCATTGAGACATGGTTCAAGTTTCATCCTGAGTTACGTTCCTCATGTACTGGTCGTGGTCGGCGACCCCCTCAGTCTCAACCCTCTCGTACATCAGGATTGCTGGCCAATACAATACCTTCTACCACTTCAGACACTACTATTCAAGCTATTGAAGGTTTTCGCCATCAACTTGATGCTTTTCAGCATATCACCTCTACATTCGCTGCACAACTCTCTTGTATGCATTTTGCTGGTTCTTCAGCTAACCCTTCGGTCTTTGGTATGAATGATCGCTGAATTTTTGACTCTGATTGTTCTTTTCATATGACTTGTAATGCCTCACTTTTATCATGTCTTCACTACATCTTCTCTTTCCCCTATCTACATAGCTGCTGGACAACTATTGTCTATCACTCAGTATAACTATTACCCCATAAAATGATCCATCTGGTTGTCCAATACTTCGTCCCGTCTATGTGGCTCCTCAGTTATGTTTGAATTTAATTTTTATTAGCTCTTTATGTATGACTGTCCTGTTTCTCATTTTTTTTCTAATACTTGTCTTGTGTAGGATCCACAGACGGACAAGACGGTTGGGGCGGGTCGTAGGAGGCACAAATTGTATTTTCTGAAATATCTTCACCTTTCAGAGTTCATATAAAAGGCTAGAGAGTCTTATTCAGTCTGGAGTACTTGGTCCTGTATCATCTAGTTCTAGTATTGAGTCATGTACTGGTTGTAAATTGGCTAGATTCACTGTTTTACCATTTAAAATGAGTACATATGTATCAACTTTCTTATTTGATTTAGTACATTTTGATATTTGGGGGCCAACTTTTCTGTTTTTTTCATCTGGCTACTTATATTATGTTAGTTTTATCGACGATTTCTCTCATTTTACATGGGTTTACCTACTTAAGAATCACTTTGACGTACTTACTGCTTATCAAGTCTTCACTGCTATGATCTTCACTCAATGACAATCTCGTATTAAAGTTTTCCATTCTGACTGTGCCAAAGAGTACTTATCCTCTACCATGCGCTTTATCATGTCCTTTCATGGGATTATCTTTTAACAGTCGTGTCCTTACACTCATGAGCAAAATGGTATTGCTGAACACAAATATCGTCATATCCTCGATACCGTTCGATCCATGCTCATTTCTTACTCTGTTCCTCATCGTTTCTGGACTGAGGCTATTCTCACTGCTACTCATGCTATTAATATCACTCCATCTAACTCTCTTTCTGGTGCTACTCCTCATAGTCATGTTTATACTTATCCTCCCCGTTATGATCTGGTCCGCTTTTTTTGTTATCACTATTTTGTTCTTTTGCTATCTCACGAATGTGATAAATTGTCTTCCAGAGCTGTTTCTTATGTCTATTTAGGAATTAATTTGGATCATCGAGGTTATCGTTATTATGATCCCGCAGCTCGTCGAGTTCATATATCTCGTCCTGTTCAGTTCGAAGAGGATTCTTCATATTATTCTGCTTCTGATAACTTTAATTTTCTCCACTCTACTGAACATGCTTCCCCATCAGCTGCATCACCCACTTCTTCACCTCAGTTTTCCTTTCAAGATCTCCCTGATATCTCTCCATCTTCTTCTATTGACTCTTCCTCACCCGAGCATTCTCTTATACCATCTGATCCATATCCCGTGGACACGATAATCTAGAAAATACTGTTGTTCTTCACGCACCTGTGCCAACATCTCCCCCGCCTGAGGTTCCTCTTGCTCTTCGTCAAGGCAAACGGTCACATGTCATGCCTGTCCGGTATGCTTCGGTTATTTCCTATTCACCTATCTTTTATAACTTTCTTGCTGTCATTCATATTACCGTTGAGTCAAAGTCCTTTCAAGAGGCAGTTTAATTTTTAGAGTGGCGACAAGCTATGACCGAGAAATTTTAGGTCTTTAAGCAAACACATAACTGTGATGTTATTTTCTGTCCCCATGGGATCTCTCTTATTAGTAGTAAATGAGTTTATAAGGTCACGTATCGTCCTGATGGCACCATTGAACATCGAAAAGCTCGTTTAGTGGCCCGAGATTTTACTCAGAAACAAAGTATTGATTATGAGGAGATCTTTGTTCCTATTGTTCAGATGCCCACCATTCGTAGTTTACTTGCGGTTGCTGCTGCTTATCGTTGTCCCTTATACCAGATGGATGTTAAGAATATTTTTTTCCATGGCTCTTTATCTGAGACAGTATATATGCAACCACCTCTAGGGTCTAATATTTCTCTAGGACACGTATGTCTCTTTCGTCGTGCTGTTTATGGTCTTAAGTAGGCACCCCGCGCTTGGTTTGAGTGTTTTCCCGATGTCATGCTCAAGGCAGGTTTTATGAAGAGTCATCAAGATGTTTCTCTGTTTGTTCGCACTACATCGCGTGGCAGAATTTTATAACTCATTTATGTAGATGATATGATCATTACAGATGATGATGCTGCTGATATACAGTTCGCAAAATCTCAGTTACAACAATAGTTTCACATGAAAGATCTTGAATCTCTTTGCTATTTTATTAGTCTAGAAATTTCTTAGGGCCCACGGGTATACTACTATCTCAACAGAAGTATCTCTCAGATATTTTAAATCGCGCTGAGCTAACTGACGATGCAACTGTCGATACTCCACTCCAAGAGAATGTTAAATTTCGCTCTACTGATGGTGAGCCTCTAATGCTGTTGGCATTGTCAGTCAATTTGTTAGTGCCCCACGTTCTGCACACTATGCTGCCTTATTACAGATTCTTCAGTATCTCCGGGGTACTAGTACTCGCTCTCTTCTGTTTCTGTACTGGTACTTGCTCTCTTCTGTTTTTGCTACATCCAAGTTAGAGCTTTGTGCATATTCTAATGCTGATTGGGTTGGTGATCCCATTACCAGGAGTCTACTATAGATTATTGTATATTTCTTAGTGATTTTCTTATTTCCTGGCGGAGTAATAAACAAGATGTTATTGCTTTTTTCAGCACCGATGCAAAGTATCGTGCAATGTCCATAACAGCTAAAGAGATTATTCATCTTCGTCCTCTTCTTAGTGATTTTGGTATTTCTATTACGACTCCTACTCTCTATTGTGATAATAAGAGTGCCATCCAGATTGCTAATAATCTAGCATTTCATGAGAGGACCAAACATATTGAGATCGACGCTCATTTTGTTTGTCAACAAGTTATCAAGGACAAGACAATTCTAGTTTCTCATGTCTCATCCGCTGACGAGCTTGCAGATTTCTTCACAAAGTCCTTACCCATTCATCGATTTTAGTTTTTTGTACGCAAACTCACTTTGTTTGATCCAACATGAGTTTGAGGGGGGCTGTTGATAATATTGTGTTAGTAGTGGGTTTAGTCCCACATTGGTTACGAGGACAAAACCTCATCCTCCTCTACTTGTATATATATGTACACACTCAATATTCAATTTAAGAGAAATTTACCCAAGACCCTTTCTCTCTCTTACTTTACAGTCTCCATTGAAAGGTTCCTGTTTGGAATTATTTCCATAGAATGCTACTTCCTGTCCGAGTGTCTGACTGTCAGACATGGACTTATGATGTCCATAATCCTTATGACCAATTTCTCATTCTTTGTCAAATTTTTATAAAGCCGCACAGCACTTTATTTGGTTTCTTGCTCACCTTTGCTTGAAAATTTTCGGCATGTACTTGACAATCTAGTGTAACTCATTCGGATTTTAGTAAGGGTCTCTAATTCCATTATAGTGTATTGCAGGCAATGTTTTTGTCTCCAGATGAGTCAAAGATAAAGGAACTTGTGAATGTGCTGAAGGAGAAGAAAATTGGTGTGGTTGCACACTTTTACATGGACCCCGAAGTCCAGGGTGTCTTAACAGCTGCACAGAAGCAGTGGCCTAACATTCACATTTCTGATTCCTTAGTTATGGCAGATACAGCAGTCAAAATGGCTGAGGCTGGTTGTCAATATATAACTGTACTTGGCGTAGACTTCATGTCAGAGAATGTCCGTGCAATACTGGATCAGGCGGGTTTTGAGAAGGTTTGTCTCTGATCATAGTTCCTTATGTTATTCAGTCATTTGTAAGGCAGGGGATACAAGTCACCTTATTATTTTTGTCATTTGTATTGTGAACTACCATCTAATGAAACAATGTGAATTTGTGATCGTGTATGTGTCTTGAACAATAATCAGTCCTTTATTTTTATGGTTGTTCTTTATGAAATTGATACTGCACTGTGCATAACTGTATCAGAAAGCTAGATTCTTTTTATGAACTTTTCTAAACATTTTTCAGAAGATAAGATCAAGCAAGATGTGTCACTGTGGATAACCGTGTTTTGGATTGTCCGCCATCTTCACAGTTCAATTTTCCATTTTGAATTGTATATATAAAAAATGTCTATTCTATTGTCATATCTATTTAGTTTGATTTTCCTAGAAGTATTAACAAGTATGGAAATCTTCTCCAGGTTGGTGTGTACAGGATGTCAAATGAACAAATTGGCTGTTCCCTAGCAGATGCTGCAGAAAGTCCAACATATATGCAATTTCTCGAGAGAGCTTCTAGATCACCTCCTTCATTGCATGTCATCTACATAAATACTTCGTTACAAACAAAAGCTTGTGGACATGAAGTTGTCCCTACTATCACCTGCACTTCTTCTAATGTTGTGCAGACAATACTGCAGGTAAGTATTTTGAGAGGACAGAATGTTTTAACATACTAATGCTTACTTCTATCGGAATCCTTAAATTCTTCTCATACCAATTCTTTGTAGTGCGATTTTTTTCTAATGAAACTTTAAAACAATTTGACAGGCCTTTGCTCAGATTCCAGATGTAAATATTTGGTACGGTCCTGATTCATACATGGGTGCAAACATTGCAGAGTTGTTTCATCAAATGGCTAAATTGACAGATGAGGAGATTTCAGAAATACATCCAGAGCATAATAGGAACTCCATTAAGTCACTGTTACCACGAGTCCATTATTATCAGGTGCATAAATGACTCCAGGGTTCAAGATTTATTGCACCTAAAGATAAGTTATTTAAGTAGATTTATAAACTTCCTTTTGCCTTATAAAACCGTTATTTTCTTGTCATGCATGACATTACCTTTTAGTGATAAGAGCTAAGAAATTTTGGTATATTCACATTCATATGCTTTTGTCAGTGCGACGGTTTTTGCAACTCCAGTTTTATGTTTTCCTTAGTGTTGCATGTCTCTTTTATGTATTATGCTCTGATGATGGTCCTATTACTGGTAAAAATACAAAACGAGGGTGCAGCACCAAACAGCAAAAATATGCACCCTCATTTTTCCTTTTAATTGTGGCAAATAATAGATGTAGGACTTTGATTCTAGCAAGATTTTCATTTCCATGGGGAGGCTAGAATGTTATATTTTGTATAGGAAACACATCACTGTTCAAGATAGGTTTATGGCATCTCTCATTTTCTACCTATAATTATCATTGTTGCTGTTCTTTTTTTGTATGTGGTCTTTCCATATGGAACTTCTTTAATAATGGAAATCTCAAAGATGCTTTTATGGGTCTTTCTCATATGTATGTGTTCCTTTTTTCGTATTTGGTATTTTCATGGGTTACTGTATTCAAGCACTTTTTCTAATTGTCCATAAAGTATTGCTGGTATTATAACTTTTCCTATGGAATTGTCCTTATAATACCTATAGATGGGGTGTGAATTTACTAATTTGCCTTGGAAATGAACACTAACGAGAACGAATCCTATAATGTAGGCATTAGAGTAGTTAGTAAAAGGTAGAGAAGATAGTTTACTCCATCACATTGGAAAGTCATGTAATTGTATTCTGTTTGCTCTACTATAAATAAAAGAAAAAAGCCATCACCTCCGCCCTTTTCCATCATAACATGCTATTCATGCCAAAATCCTAAACCTATTAACCATCATAAACATGATTTCCATGCCAAAATTCTAAACCACTAAAGCCTTTCTTGTTAAGCCTAAAACTCAGGACCACCGAGCGGGAGCTTTCGGCTAAAGCACTGTTTCCGCACTTTTCTATTGGTGGCTTCAACGCATTCCTCACACCCTTTTTTTTCTTTCTATTTTCCTGGAAAGTCAAAAGCAAGCATACAAGCTATTTTCCTCTGCACTCCTCCGTGCCCCCTCTCCCGCTGCCCCTCCCTTCTCAACACGCACACACATACCCACACAAAACGAATCTCCTCCAACCTCTTCTTTCACTTTGCCACCTAGCGATCAATCCCCAAAAGGAAAAAAAGGTTGACATCCAGTAGAAACACAAGAAATCTACATGTTAAACAAACCATTCAACAAACCAATCCCTTTTCCAGCAAGAACCCTAAAAGTAGGTATTTAAGGTTTGCAAGCCGGAGCATGTAGGTAATTTTCAATATATTGTTTAGTTATTGTGCAGAATAGTGCAGCAAACTTGTAGAACTCATATATTTAGCTTCACAAACCAATTAGGATAACAAAATTTGTAATTAATATCTGAGCTTTACAAATCAGTTCAAAGTAACTGCCCGAAGGGCATTTTGAAGCCACACGTTTGATTCTGGATTCCGTCTTTGTCAGGGCAGAGAGGCAAATTCTCTGATTTTTGTTAGTTTCCTACTACTAGTAGCGCTGAACACATTTCTAGGGCAGAGAGACAAACCTAACCCTTTTCCCCGTTCTCTTCCCTTGAGAAAACAGAAGCTAGGGGCAGAGTTTTTTATTCGTATTAATTTCTTTTCCTACCCATTTCGGACCAGTAAAATCTAAAATTGGTTTCATGAATTTGGTGACGTAGACTTTTACAAGCACCTATTTACATAACTTATCAAACGAACCGAGCTGAGGAAATGTAGACATTTTTAGTGTCCAAATTTGCATAGATGATGTGGCAGGCATGGAAAACAATTTCATGTTCTTTTTGTGCAAACCAAACAACCCTAAAGGTAAACACTTTTTTTCTTGCAATCCCTTGGACAATTATGGAGTGGATTATGTTGATTTTTAAATTAAATCCAATAACTAAAACCTTACTAAATCTAACACCCCTCCTCAAGCTAGAGCATAGATATCTATCATGCTAGCTTGCTACATAAAATAGAGACCAGCTTAGAAGAAGCAGCCTTGGTGAGGTTACTCGCCAACTGTTCTAAAGAGGGAGTAAACAGAATGCAGATCACCTCTTTCATTATAACATCCCTAATCATGTGAACAATAGCTATGTGCTTTGGCCCTTTCATGAAAGACAAGATTCATTGCAATACAGATAGCAGACCGATTATTGTAATACACGGGAATTATTCTTGGCTGAACAAAATCTAGTCCTATCATCAAGTTCTTCAACCATATCATCTCACAAAGTATGCACTAACGCTCTGTATTCAGCCTCTAGAGGAGACTAAGATACAAACTCTTGCTTCTTACTTCTCCAAGTTATTAGATTACAATCAACAAAACTATACTATCAAGTGGTAGACTTTTTAGCCTCCTTATCTCTAGCATGACTCGATTCTGAATAAGCAAAGATTCGCAAATGTCCATTCTTCTTGTATAGTATGTCCTTTCCAAGAGAGCTTTTGATACAGACAAGAATTCTCGTAGATGCTCTCTAGTGAACCTCGCTAGGCATGTACATAAACTGACTCAAAAGTCCTACAACAAAGGGTAAATCAGGTCTAGTAACTATAAAATAGATCGACTTGTCAATCAACCTCCTATATTGCCTAGTGTCTAAAAAAAGATTATTTTCCTCATCCCATTGATCTACATTTGCTTCCATTGAGGTGGCGACCGGCTTGCAACTCAGAAGACTAGTCTCCTCTAAGATCTAACAAATACTTTTTGGGAGAGAAGTAAGCCATGTTTCTTATAAGCAACTTCAATCTTAAGAAAGTATTTCTGCTTTTCGATATCTTTTGTCACAAATTGATGCTTGGGATACTCTTTGGTTTCTGCCAAACTACCTGTATCACTCCCACTTAGCAAAATTTCATGTACAACCAAGATCATTGTCTCTGAAGTGGTATGGTGAATAAACAGAGAATGATTTGAATGACACTGCTGAAAACCAACACTAGATATTACTTGGTTAAAACTTGAACCAAGCTTGCGATCTCTGTCTGAATCCATAGATTATACATGAGAACCCCCTAGCAACTAACCCTGAAGGTTGCTTTATATAAACTTCTTTATGTCTGAGTAAAGTCTTTAGCATCCAGCCTGACTTTATATCTATCCATGGAACCATCGAGGCATTATTTCATAGTGAAGACCCAACGACAACCCACAATATCTGCCTCCTGAGGAGCGATAGCAACATCCCAAGTCCCCCTGCAAACAAGTACATCCATCTCATTCATAGCCTACTCAAAAACCTGGGTATAGGAGCATAAGATAAGGATAGAACAAACTGGCAATGTGATGGGTGTAAGATGACAATAAGAGATAAAATTGATTAAGTCTAAATGTCTAATCATATTTCTATAGTTCAATATCTTTTTATATCTCTTATTTCTTCCGGCGTATAGCATCTCTCTTTTTTCAAAAAAACCTATTAGATCTTCATTGATTAGATTTTGCTGATACATGGTCGACATTCTTAGACTGTTTTTTTACCTTCTAGGGCTTTGACCCATTCATTCTCAATTTTGATGAAATGTAGTAAATCTGAGAAATCTTGTATTTTTAGATTTATTAAATCTAATGTTTCAATATTAGAGAGTATAACCTTGCTCCTTTTGCTCAGTGGTGGTTCTTTCAAAGAATTTTTATTCTCTGTCCTCTAGAATTTCTGATATTGAGTTAAGAGGAAAATTGTACTACTTTTGGATGAGTTTCTTAGCCTCTGATATTCTTTTTTCATTTACTATAATTTGCCTTTGAGTCTTTTTTAGTGACTTCAGAAAAAAACTCGAGTGCCGTGTGAAGTCTTTCACTTTCTTCAACGAAGTCTTCTTTTCTGAATTTTATGAATCCATGTAATGGGTATTCAGTGATCTTGTACTGGGTATTCAGTGACCTTATACAACTCCCATTATTAAATTGATAGAGAAAGATGAATACATTTTTTTCTTCCCTAATACTCCATATTTTGAACGTAAAAATAGTTTGGATTTTAGTTACATATTTCACAACATTTGGTTTTGCAAAGTTCCAGAATATAATCATCGAAGTCTTCCGGACGAGTTGTGTTTATAAAGATTTCATGAAAGATCCTTAATTATATTTGTTTTTTATGTTTATGGATTTCTTAGAATCAGGCCATTGCTCAAGGCCATTTAATCTTGTTTAGGTTTTCTTAGAAACATGCCTTTAATCTTAGCAGTTTGTTTCTTGTTTAAGTGTTACAAGACTTACGTAGGTCAAGTTTTCAACAAGATGATCTTATTGAAGGAATAACAATAAAATTCCTTGAAAATCTTGAAGAGCAAGATAAGAAAAGAATCGATCTGAAATTAGGACCAATGATGGTAAGAATACCAATATCAGATATCCGAGTAATGATAACAATAATTGATCTTAAGAAAATATCTCAATTACGTTTATACATTCCTCTTACTATAAAGCTACCTGAAATTAAAGACTTTACTCTTCATGCACTTACAACCATGCGCTTTTACACACTGGTGCTAAAGTACATCACAACAATTATTTATTCCATCACAATACCAAGTTTTTCTTGACGAAAAAGGAATACTAAATGGGTTTGTAGGACAAATGAACTTCCGTCACGCATAAAGTTAGAAATCTTCCAGTAGGTATCCCAAATATCAAAGGCGAAGAATGATTATTTCATTTTGACTTCACTTTACTTCCTCGACAGTTAAATGAAGATTGTATTTTAGGAATGGATAATCTTTGTTCGTTATCACCTTTCAATATTTTTTTTGAATTAGACAGAATTCAAGTGCCTAAAGTACATTTTCCAATACAAATGACTGAACATTATCAACTTGTAGCACATAGTGGTGATGAAATCTTAAACAAGAACAA